GAGGGTATGTTAAGAATTCCTTCCCCACAAGCAGTGTATGTAGGATGGAAAAGATGACAGGCTTCCCTGTGGTAGCTCCCACACTTTGAAACACCTTCCCCCCAAAGATATGTAACATCCACCCTGTTAATGTTTCAAAAACAAGTAAACATTTATGTTATTTTAGTAAGCCTTTGCCCCGAGTTAGTCTGAATTAGGAGATCTACCATAAATAAATACATACATAAACATACATACATACATACATACATACATACATTGTGCTTTTTACCTTAAACGTTGGAACAGAAAGCTGTTCAAAAGATGAAGAACTTTCTTCACTAGTTGGAGTGTCGAGATCTAATGGCCTATGTAAGGATGATTTGGAGGTTCTTTTATTTGTTGGATGTTTTACTGACCAGTTAATCACTTGGTACTGGGTGAGGTAGCTTTGGTAGCAGTTCATTACAGGCTGCTGGGAAGTGATTTGTTCATTCTCAGGAGCCTTCTCAGTTTCTATGATATATAAATGTTCAACAAGGTCATCCTCTCCTCCCAAAGCAGAAACAAATGAAGCTTGGGAGGGATGCATTTTTATTGGTACAGTTTTTGTATCTTGACTAGTTTCTCCATGACAGGTAGTAGTAAGTGGTCCTTCTACACTGTGATAGATTGAGCCCCTCCCATAATCAATTTGTTTGGCTTGCTTTCTCTTCTTTTTCCTCCCAGGATAGGTTCCTGGGCCTTCATCACTGCTGATGGGATCAAAGTCCTCAGCAGCTGAGAAGTAGGCTTCACTATCAGCCATTGACATGCTAGAATCCATAGAACGATACTGATGAAATGAATTTGAGTCTGCAGAAGGAGTATAAGGGAAAGAACCAAAACTTCTTCTTTGCTTTGGAGAATCTAAGACATTTTCATCACTACGGGAAACATCACTGCTGAACTGCACACCAACTGGAACAGGCTGCTTATCACCATAGAAGGCTGCAGTAAGACTTTTGGTGCTTCCAAGTCGACCAGAACATACTGATGCTTGCCGTTTCAAAGGAGATCTAAGAGGAGACTGTCCAACAGGCCTCTCTTGTGGAATAGGAGATACTGGGCTATTTCCTGATCCTTCTGCTGCACTACTAGAGAAGATAAGAACATTTGTACACAGTGATGCAACTGCACAGAATTCAGCATCAAAAGCATTTATTCAGGATTGACATAGTAACTGTGATTGTGGATTTCTTTGAAACACAGTGAAAAAGCAAAGGCCATCACAGCTACTTCAATCCCAGTTATTTCAAGGAGCCTGCAACATGTAACTATACTGGATAACAGCTGGTATTGTACACTGAGAAACTTGAAAGGAAGCATAGATGAGACAAACATTAATATATTTGAATCAGAGGTGAGAAATATGTAACTTTCCAAATTATGGCAGATACCACTTCTACCAGCCTTGCCAGCACAGTCAGTTCTGGCACGAGAATAAGCTGCAGTTAAATAACACCTGAAAAGTCATTAGGTCCCCATACTTGCTCTAGGAAATAACATGGTGCCCTCAGATGCTTTGTTCTTCAACTCCCCTAAATCCCAAGCAGCATGATTAACAGTAAAGGGTTTATTCAAAACAGCTGGACAGTATCAAGTATCTACCCTTGTAGATATACTAATGTTTCTTCCACACACTGCACCCCAACTTGAGCACATAAAGCAGGCAAACTCTAAGTATTTGAAAAGAACTTGTAAGCTAGATAATTCTACAATGAAATAAGTTATTATTGAGAAATAAATGCTCACCTTCCATGGGCATCTTCTTTTTTTGAACCTGTCAAGAGCTCCTTTTGTCCTAAATGGTCTTCCATGGCAGAAGAAGGACTTTCCCTATCACCTGCAAGCAAGGGGAGTGCAGCGCTAGAACTACTATTCTCCTCTGAAGATGATGAAGAACTATGAGACCGCAAAGGTACTTGTAAATTTAGTTGCTGGGATTTTCTTCCAGATTCCGTTCCAACAGATCGGCATTCCCATTCTTTTCTCTTTATACCATTTGCCTTACCTAAAAACAAATTATGTATTTTATGCTAAATTAATAAATATTAAAGATACCAATATTTTTTCTTCTTCTTTATTTTCAAATAGATACATAAGTACATTATTTTAAGAGAGACTAGAAATTGCGACAACCATCAAGAAACCAGCCTGGTTTTTAATGTGGAATATTTTTAATCATGGGTCTCCCCATAACTTTAATTGCACATTACCAAATTTTATACCTGTGTGTCTTGCCAAACGTTTGCATTCAGTATCACTTTTGTGCAATACTTCTGGTTAAGTGCATAATTTCTTTAACCTCTTAATAAGTATACTAAGATATGCTGATGTTTAATTAACAACAAATGATATTTACAAACATATAAATTGACAGATGCAAATCCTTTACCATCTGTAATTTTGGGAAGCTCTTTGGTAATAATCCATTCTCCAGGTTGTAGTAAGGATTGCCCATAAAACATATCTGATTCTGCACTTGCATTTGAAAAAGCTGAGCTACTTGATGGTGTCAATTCTTCGAGCTTGAAGAAGTCTAATCCTGATCCTGGGCCACCAAAAAACCGACAGCCACCAAGACAGCCACATTTGTTCTTGCTTCTTTTATTCTTTGTATTGTCATCTGGCCATAAAAACCATAATCTAGAAAAAGAAGGAGCTCGTTGAAATAAACAAACTGAAAGTATTGGTCAGATATTTCTACAATAACCATTATGGATGACTACGTTATCTTCAATGCGCATCCACCCAGATGCCTCACAAATGCATTAACCTATACAAAGTAGTAGCTGATTTGTTTTAGAAATAGCTTATTTAAAAAAATTAATTTTCACTAAAAATAATTGGATCAAACTAACAAGGCTCTTCTATCCTATTCTTCTGATCATAACTCTAACATCTGGGACATGGCTCAGATACTGAAGTGGAAGTTGGCTATTTCCAAAAATCAAACACAGTTCATTGTGGAAGCACCAGGTTTTTCATATGCTTCCACAATAGTGTAGGATTTGGAATGATTTTCTACTCTTTTTGCTGCACAACTCTTTGCAGTGGTGAGACAAAGATGAGGAGAGTTTGCTACAACAGTGATTTCTATTCATTCAACATTAGGAACAACCCAAATCCTCCAAAACAAATGTATTGAGTTCTTGGAAATAAATGTTGGAGATGTAACACTCTAAGCAGATACTATTTCCCAGAAATGGATTTAAAAGATCTGATCATATTATAAAATAAATACAAAATTCTTCCATTGCTATCATGGTTTTCAACTTGAAAAACTGTCAGCTCCTAGTGCTTAGATTATAATGAAACTTTGTTAAAAACATTGTGAATAACATGTTTTTAAAAATCCATACACACAGATGCATACCCACACCCACATAAAAATAAAAGAATTCTAGAATCAATTTTCTGCATCAAAAATCTATAAAAGTTTTACATTTTTGAAGAATCTATTAAGAATGTTCATGTTTTCCCTTTTTTCACTGACAGGCCTTTTTACTAACCTATTTTTCATTTGTCATTTTTCTTACCTCTTTGTTCTGCTATCATGAGTTTCCAAAAAATGTCTCTGTGCTTCATGCTTTGAATAGTGATCTGCTGCTAAAGCAACATCAGCAGTGATAAGGCCCAAATTGATTGATCCTGCTTCTAGCCAATATGCCCTCCGTAGTACTGCAAGTTGAAGACTAGCTCGGCAATTATTTGCTTGTTCAATATACTGTTGTAATTGGAAGTCTTGAATGGCAGCACTTATACCTTCACCAACTGACTGATTGTGGAGGTTACAACTGGCAATGCGCACAGCACCCATCTAAATGTCAAATTCAAGAAAAAGATCAGTAGAAATCCTAGAAGAGTATCAACTGAAATTACTGTAGGATATTTACTCCTAGTAATAAAAATGAGACAATTCTAAATTTCTTATTTACAGGTATAAGTTTTAATGAAATTATTAATATCATGATGGTAATTCAAATTATAAATAGGTTTGATATTTATGAAGTCATACTTAGCTGAGAAATCAAACTACATGCATAGCAACATGTTTCTTCATCATATATATAAATTTTTTAAGTCTATGTCAAAGGTATCCAAGAATTAGTTCTATAAAAATGTTGATACACAAGAATAACAATCAATATAAAGAATAAATATGCTAGAAATATTTAAATCTCATTAAAGTCATGCTGAAAATAAATTGTTCTATTTTAAAAAATTGACATTTTTTAAAAAAATGTACAGGTAGTCCTTAGCTTATGATGGCAATTGGGACCAGAACTGCTACCTCTAAGCAACATGTCATGAAGTGAGAAATCACATTTCTGTGTTGCTTAGCAATGGCAATTCCGGCAGTCTGGCTGCCACCATTAAGCAAGGACTGTGCGGGTTGTTAAGTGAAGACCTCACATGACCGTGACTCCGACTTTCTGCCAGCTTCCTCACTGACTTTGCCTGTAGGAAGCTGGCAGGGAACATCAGAAATCGTGATCATGTGACCGCAGGGACACCACAACAGCTGGAACTATGAGGACCCATTGTAAGTACCATTCGTTCAGTCCCACTGTAATGCTGAATGGTTGCTGAATGAATGGTCATAACCTGAGGACTACCTGTATACAAAAATGAAGATGTGAAATAAGATAAGTACTTCTACCTTTATATTTGTAGCACAACCATGCTCAACAATGTATATATCTGCACCATCTACTGACAGGCGCGTCATAGTATATTTTAATTCATCAGATGTTAGACAAGGCCCAGAGACGCCATTTATCTAAAGATTTGGGGGGAAAAAGATAGTAGTAAATGTTACCTTGGCATATATTCATCTTACTTCAAACAAAGACAAAGTGACACATCACCTCAACTGAAAACAGACAAAACTGAAAACAGTATAGTTCTTCTATGGTCATGGAATTATGATACATGAGGATTCTTTAAGTAAAATATTCTACCGGCCTGATTAAGTATTAAGCCTGTAGAAGGTACCAACTGCCCCTCAGCTTCACTGACTGAAGCTTCTGCTAATATGCACCAGTCTGACAGTAGAACTCTTTATTTAATCAGGGACAAAAATTACTACCTTTTCTTTAAAAGAGATGCTATTAATCAGTATTCTTGCTTTTAAAAGTAAAAACTACATCTCCTTTCCCCACCATTCTAGCCATGTAACAAATCCTTAGAAACCGTCCTTATGTTAAAAAAAAAAGGTATAATTCCCTCAGCTCCATTTGATAACTAGATAACTTCTTTTTTTTTTCCAATCTCAGTTAATCTTCCAAAACAATCAGCACTGCAACCAAGAATTAAGAACACTGGTGAGGATCCAAAAAGATAAAATTGTTACATAAAATTGAGTTAGGAGACACTGAAATTGTATAAATCCCATAAAGATTTGACAAATGATACAAGAAAAAGTTGTTTTCTCACCTATGTTTTTTAAAAAGGAGAAAGGGAAAGTAAATATTGCAGCACTGAAAAAATAGGGAGCATATTAAATATTTCCTTAAAAGAAAAAAGGAGAGATGTATTGCCCAAGAAGACAGCAAACTTGTTGCTGTCCACTATCACTATTTAAGCTTTAAAATCATGTAGTAACAACAATTAAAAACTTTTTTATAAAAAAAACAACAATTTTAAATGGCATGTAAGTGCAATGTACTACATGTATTTGCCACAATTTATTATTTATTAAAATATTTTAATCACTAATCATCGTAAGATATTAACAATATTTAAAGTACAATTAAAATTTCTATTGTGATATACTATTAAACCAGGAGAAGAGACAAGAGAAAATAAAATAAAATAAAATAAAATAGGCAATTCCAGATCAATTCATTTAGACTAACAAGCCAGTTTTTAAATTTCATTGGGATTTGTTTCTCATCAAGAGTTTTACATACACATAGTTGCAAATAAGCCCACTAAATTTGAAGAGGCTTACTTTAAGTAAGTTTTTACAAGATCAGACTACAAGCCTATATATATACTTTAAGATGGTCTCCTTTGCCCCATTTTAGAATTCCACAATTTAGTGACATGTATTTGGGGCAAACCCTTAAACAGGGAGAAGGAAAGGCAATATAAAATAGTGGAAATATTGTAGCAACTATAGGAATTACTGTTTCTGTGAAGTGGGCCCCTAATGACATTATGATTTATATTATCATTTCTCCAATCTCAGTTAATCTTCCAAAACAATCAGCATTGCAACAACAGAGAATTATTTATGTTTTTATTTATTCAACATATTTCTATGCTGCCACAGTCAAAATGAGTCTCAGTGGCTCACATAGTATAAAGATATAAAAATACAAAAATAAAAACACAACAGGACTATAATACAATGTGACTAAAATACAGCCTTCTAAACCTACTCAGATAAAAACTTTTCTACACTGATAACAGAAGTCAAGGTCAAAAACATTTGGCCCTTCAGCACAACTTAAAGACTAAAAACTTTTAATAATTTTTATGCCTCTACTGCTAATGGAACTGAAAAAGCAGAATCCCTCACTAATTGCATAATATTTGTAATGCAATGTTCTCACTGAACCAGAGTTCATAAAGCCAGATTATACAGTTTAGAAGAAGCTGTTACCTTAGCTTCACAAAAACGACGATCAATTCCATGTTGACATACGATGACAGATTTTGGTCTTTCCAGTTGAAACTCACGACATGCCACATGAAACACAAATGTTTGTCCCCATTCAAATAGACATGCAAGCTGTAAATACATAAGGACTACTCACTACACAGAAATCAAATAAACTAAGAGGAGTTTGGATATTTGAAAAGATTATGGTTCCTGGTTTTTGCAATAAATTCCACTAAACTAAATCCTGTATTTCATAACAATTGCAGGTTTACACTTGGACTGCAAAAGGAGGCAGTTTAGAAGTTAGAAAGGAGAGGGCAACTTCTATCTGATTTGGAAAATGTAAAGGAAACTTATGAACAGAACATACTACATGAAGCTAAAATTTCACAACATGAAAATCTAGTTAAGTGCAATCAATACTTTAATGCTATTGTTTTGTTTTTAGAACTCTAAAAATAGAATAGAAGACTGGCATTTCCAGTCTTCACATTATGCACAAGAAAAAGAATAGAAAAGATGAACAGTGGAAAATAAACGTTTCTAAAGTGGAGAACACATAATTTGTTCAATGTTATTCATGTAATATTTAACTATGACTATATACACATGCATATAAATGTGCACAACACATTATTTTTAAATGTTTAATGGACTGTACATTTGTATATCTGTGTTTATACACAGATACATACACAATACATACAATTGCATGCAAAAGTTTAGGTACCCCAGGTCAAGCTATATGCTCCAATGAATTTAAGAAAACAGAAGCTGACACAATCTCTGCATGATACAAAGTTAAAAATGTTTTTTTCTGCAAATAAATGGCAAATAGTATAAATTAACAAAGGAAATGAAAGAAAAATAGATATGAAAATAAAGAAAGGGGAAGGATGAAGATTATTTGATCCTACAGAGTTGATGGAAGTGAAAATATCATGTAATTAAAAATAAAAGGGCTAAAAACGTATGCCAAAGAGTATGAATTGGTGTCATCTAGAGGGGCCTGAGGAAGATAACCTCCCAACAGAATTAATCAACATGAACGTGAGGAAAGAAGATCTGGAATCAGCTTGAAAACAGAATTAAAAGCATCACAGGATGGAATGCTAATGAGAACTTTAAAAAAGGATGCATGATGGAATGATGAAATGAAAGAGACTATGGATGAGAAGAAAAAACACATAGAAGAGAATGAATGCTCCAAAAAATGGGGATGGGAAGAATAACTTTCATACTGTATATACAAACAAAAAGACAGAAAATGGGGGGGGGGGGGGAACAGTTCATTAAAGGAAACAGAGATAATGCAGGGATTTGATGGAAATAAAATATTGTTATGGAAATGAGTGAAAAGGCTAAGCAAGGAGCATACAGAAGGATAAATACAATAAAGACTAAAAAGATGCTGTCTCTTTCCAAAATTGTGTAGCTATTCTCCTTTGGTTTAAGTTGCTAAAAGGTGCTTCATGTATTCCCATGCCCACTCTGAAGCATCTTGTTTCCTCTGAATCCAAACACTACATGGCCCTTACAATAATAATAAAATAAAAAGTCCGAATGTACTGAATATGTTTCTGTTCCCTTCAAAAGTATCCAAAATGTGCAAATCTCTAATGGATGTTATTTGAAATAGTTGATTCTGAATTCTGAAAACATGGCTAAATATTGTGAGGTTTTAACAGATATTCACAAATGCATAATTCTCATATCTGTCAAAAATTCCTATCTAGATTATTGAGCTCCTACTACTTACACAGAAATATGAGATTTCCAAAGATAACAAAAACAAATTTGTTCTAATTCACTTTTTGTTTAGTTCTGTGCTTTAATACATAAAACATATATGTTAAAATAGCAATGTACACATTTTAATCTGAGACCGAGTTACAAACCTGTGGAACTGTAACCTTGGCTGTCAGGCTCCCACTCTGAATATCAATTAGCCATGCATATTCCAAAGTGTCACTACCCAGAGGCAAACCTTCTGCTGAAAACATAGCATGAGCACGTAGCTGTAGACCTGAAAGGCTCACATGACCTTCTCGAAGAACTTCATCCACAGTAGGTCTCTGTTAAGGAAGCAAGCTAGGCAGGGATTAGGGCTATATAGCTATTCAATGCTATTGCTTTTGTTGGCTTTTGTCAATTTTTTTTCAAGTTTTACCATAATTTTGCCATTCAATTTGCAAAGCAAAATACAAACTGTTTACAATTCCTGTTTTGCTTATCTATGAATCAAGCTGGCAAAATCATAGAGTCCTATAATTCATATGACACTATGATTATATATCATAAAAAATGTAAACTCAGGGAACTACCTTTGGGTATAAATGTATAAGATGAACAATAAATGTAACAAGTGAAGCAGGAAGTTAAGAAGGGTTCAACCGTGTCATTCCACTGGAAAATCAAAATACTCATGCCACCTCAACATACAAACTAATCTGCCCCTGATGGTTGGGGGACTGTCTAGAACATAGCTGCTTTGAATGCAGGGAAACATGGGAGAAAAATAATTGGAACTAGAATAACTGTAATTGGCTCACAATTGTGACTGTAGCACTACAGAGTATGATTAAAAAAAGATAATTACTTAAGTTCACTTTTCTTGGTTATTTAATTTCATGCAGCTTGGAAAGTATTTAAAATAATTTTACCTGATAATTGTCACTCAAGAATATATTCAATGGTGATAATACAAGCTGCAACATAGTTTCCTTATATCCTTTTTTCATCTCAAAACATAATCTTTCCAGAAAACCTGTAGGACATTCCGGGCCATCACTGCTGCAGTGCTAACATACAGAACATTAAAAATGGAAATAAACATTTAATTAAATGTCAACAATTGTCAAATGGTTAAATTATGAAAATATGCAAAACATTCTTAAATAGGCAAAAGCCACACTGGAAAATAATGAATTTGCCTAAACCAACACCACTTAACAGTGGATAATTCTTCTGAAATAGAGTTTTCAGGTCTTCAAGTCAAGAATTTTGTACTGTATTGTTAAGTTGCTCATAAAGAATGTTCTTGTACTGTTCTTACCCAAGGAAGCAAGAGTTCTAAAAATGGCCATGGTCTCACACCAATCCAAGTCATTATTGGCTTGGTCTCTCCTAGCTCCAAGCCTTAGTAAGGTAAGGAATTGCCTCCTCTTCAACTCCTCCCAGTCGCCTATCCCCCCCACCTCTGCCCTTTTGGCTGCCCTTCACTCTGCCACCTCTGCCGGTCCTGCCGCCCTGGTCTCTGCTGGTCCTGCTGCCCAGCTGACTTTCACCATCCTCTTCTACCCGCTACTGAGGCATGCCCAGCCTGGCTCTTTGTGAGGCAGCTGCTAGCCGTGCCAGGCCTTCTTCCCTTCCAAAATCTCTACGAGAAATCCGCAAGTGATTTGGACAAGGCCGTATGCAGCCTTGGGAAGAAGGCCTACTGCAGTCAGCAGCTGCCTCACGAAGGGCCAGGCCGGGCACACCTCATCAGCAGCAGGAGGAAGAAGATGGCGAAGGTCAGCTGGGTGGCAGGGCCAGCAGAACCCAGGGCAGTAGAGCCAGCAGAGGTGGCAGAGTGCAGGGCGGCCAAGAGAGCAGAGATGGGGAAAGATAGGCAGATGGGGGGATTTGAAGTTCCCCTGCAGTCGTAAATGCAGATGGGCTGCCAAGCACCTAAATTTTGATCACGTTACTGTGGGGGCGCTGCAACAGCCATAACTTTGGGGACCGGACGTAACTATCATTCATTCAGCGCTACTATTAAGCGAGGACATTAACTGAAGACTATCTGTAATGTGTTTGGTTTTTTTAGGATAATATGTAGCATCATTCACAGGCCAAACCCAGGATATCTGTATTTCTGGTTATGTGCACAATTTCCTAAAACCAGGGATAAAGTATTCATAGTACTTACTACTGGCAAGCGTCCATGAACTTTGTACACATTAACAAGCACAGTAATATCCCATGGGCGTAATGTTAGGGGATTAACTTGTTTCAGTGATGTATCATGCTCTTTTTTGTCAGCATCCACTCCAACTGCTGTCCACCCAGAGCTTGAAGATGTTGACATAGATAGTACAGGGCTTGAAATGACTTCCTCAAAATCGGTATACATATCATCTTCACCAAAATAATTTTCCTAATGAGATGAATTAACAATATTTATTGAAACAATATAACATAAACCTTCACATCATAATAAAGCTTTCATATAGCAAGTCATTTAAAAATATTAATTTCTAATTATACAGAAATAATCTGATTATCACATATTCTTATAATGTTTTAGAGATTAAGATTTGTTCAAACATTGGAGTAATTGGAAAGCTGGGTGTGATAAGTAGAACAGATCAAATATTTGTGTTGTTGGTAAACTAGACGCTCTCTTTAATATTGTCCATCCTGTAAAATACCAGCCTTGGAAACATTTGATTCTGTTCTCATACTGGTTGGAAATGTGTAAATTATGATTTAACATATTTGAGGGACCCCCAGAATGGAAAGCTGGTTGGACATTTTCTTTGTGTAGCAGAATAAGTTATAATTAGAAAATATTGTTCTACACTTTTTAAGAACAATACAAGATCCATCTATATTTCACAATCCAGGGAGAGCTCGTACCTTTATAGACAGGAATGCTTTTAAAAGCGGTCCATATAAAGTTATCTGGGAATCTGGGGAAAGTTCTAGTTCTACACGAAGCTTATCAGGTGGAAGTTCAGAGGGGTCAATAGGGAGCCAAGAAGCTGAAGGAGATGTCCCTCCATGTGCCATTTTCTTTGATGGTCGCAGTGCAGATAAGATGGTTTCTTCCATTTCTGACACTTTGTAAATGAAAAAGAAAAACAATTGAATGAATACTGATAATATTTCACCAATGTATTGATAAAAGCAAATTCTGTTTTTTTTTAAAGATCAGAATAATATTATTGAACAAATCCAAAGGCAATAAATAGCAACAATGTTTTATTGTTGGTATTTTCTATATAATTTTAAATTATATTTGTAAACTAACCCAAAGATCTAAATGCAAGATATTCTTTTAAATATTAAATAATTCAAAACTGACATGTGTCCAGTAAGAACAGCGTAACAGTATTTTAGGCTCCCCTAAAGGGCAGTAAGTTCAGGAAAGCTTTGATATGATTTGTTTTGTATGCTTCTTCTTTTCAGAATTTTAAATGGGCACAAAATAATTTTATTCTGTAATACATGTGGGAATGATAAAGAAAGAACAGTTGATCTTATCTGTTTGATATTGAAGTTACAACTATAATGATTTTGAATTTGCTCCTTATATGGAGCATGGTTATATGATTTTTATATTTATTTATTAATTTGGTATATTTTTACAATACTTCTCATACAATTGCATTTCAAAGTACTTTACGATGAAACAGACTTAATACCATATTTATCTTTTGTTTATATTTCTAATTGTCCTGAAGCCTTGTACAAGATAGAAAAGAGAAAAACTATTTTTAATAATTCAAATAAGTCTTATCTCAAGATAAGAATATGGTCAGGTAGTCCTCATTTAGAGACCACAATTGGGACCGGCAACTCCATCACTAAGCAAAGTGGTTGCTAAGTGGGAAATCACATGATTGTGACTGTACTTTCTGGCTCAAAACTGACTAATCAGTTTCACACCTTCAGCTTTTGTTTGCCTCCTAACCACTCCCCTGCCCTTAGGAATGTTCACCCTGGTGCTGGGATAATCAACAAGAAAGGAATTGGTGTTTGTATTTATATTCATTGTAGAGGAAGGGATTACAAGAGAGTAAGCAGGAACACAATGGGGAATACACACTGAAAGGAATGCATTGGCACCGGCAGCCATGAGCATGCTATGCAAACAGCCTGGTATATTTTTCATTGTGTGCCTGTTTACTCTCTTGTAATCCCTTCCTTTCCAATCTCTCCGCACTGCAAAGCGGGGAGGAAACAGTCAGGCATAGGAGAGATTCCCCACAGAAATCACTTGGTAGGGCCCTTCTTTTCTGGGTGGTCAAGGGGAGAAGAAGGGCTATGGTTGGCATGTGGGAGGGGGAGGAGGGCAGGAAAGCACCAGAATGATTTGGACATTGGTGGGGGCAGGGGAGACAGAAGCAAATGGG